TCCCAATATTTGTGTTGTCCAAAAATTTAGTAATCAAATAGTAAACTATATTTTCCTCCAAATTACTTATACATATTACAGACAACAAGGGTCCCAACACTGATCACTGTGGAACACTACTGATCATAGATCTCTAGTCAGAAAAACACCCTTCCACCAGTACTCTCTGTATTTTTTGGCTAAAAAAGTTATGTGTCCGTTTTACCAGCTCATCGTGGATCCCATGGACTTCACCTTTTGTATCAGCCTCCCATGTCAAAGGCCTTCCTAAAGTCCATATAGACAACATCTACTGCCCTGCCCTCATCAATCATCTTTGTCACTTCATACAAGTTTAAGAGACACAACCTTCCTTGCACAGAACCATGTGGCCTATCGTTAATAAGCCCATACTCTTCCAACTGTGAGTAAATCCTATCTCTAAGAATCTTGTCCAATAATTTCCTACCACTGACATAGGGCTCGCTGGTCTGTAATTTCCCAGATTATTCCCATTGCCCTTCTTAAATAAAGGAACAACATTAGCTATTCTCCAGTCCTCTGGGACCTCTCCTATAACTAAACAGGATACAAATATTTTGTACAAGGCCCCAGCAATTTCCTCACCTGCCTCCCTCAGCATTCTGGGATGGATCCCATCAGGTCTTGAGAACTTGTTTACCTTATGCTTTTTAAAACATCCCCTGTTTTTATGTTGACATGACCTGGAATATTAACATACCCCCTCTCAAGCCTCTCCATCCACCACGTCCTTCGCTTGTGTGAATATCAATGCAAAGTATTCATTAACCACCTCTCCCACTTCCTCTGGCTCCACTCATAAATTGCCTTCTTAGTCCTTGAGTGGACCTACCCTTTCCCTGACTACCCTGTGGCTCATTATTTATGTATAAAATCCCTTGGATTTTCCTTAATACTGTTTGTCAAAAACATTCCGTGGCCCCTCTTAGCCTCCTAATACCTTGTTTGAGTCCTTTTCTACTATCTTTGTAATCTTTGAGAGCTATTGTCTGTCTACAGTTTCCTAAACCATACGTCTGTCTCCTTTCTCTTTTTGATTAAGCTGTCAATTTCTCTTGTCATCCAAGGTTCCCAAATCTTGCCATCCTTATCCTTTTCACAGGACCGAGCTGGACCTGAACTCTAATAAACTGGCCTTTAAAAGATTCCCACAATATCAGATATGGATTTACCCTCAAACAGCTGTCCCATCTACATTCTCCAAATCCTGCCTAGTATTGTTGTAGTTAGCCTTCCCCAATTTAGTAGTTTCACCTGACAACTACTCTTATCCTTAGCCATAAGTAACTTTAAACTTATAGAATTATGGTCACCGTTCCTGAACGGCACCCCTACTAAAACTGTAATCACCTGGCCAGGCTTCTTCCCCAATACTTGGTCTAGTATGGCCCTTCCTGGTTGGACTATCTACATATTGTTTCAAATAACCATCCTGAACACACGATTAAGCCCCTGGTACTAAACATGCCCCTGTTAATATGGAGGAAGTTAAAATCTCCCACCGTAATAAACCTTTTGTTTTCACATTTTTCCATAATCTGTTCACATACGTGTTACTCTATCACCCACTGGCTATTGGAAAGCCTGTAGTACAATCCCATCAAAATGATTGCACCCTTCCTGTTCCTGAGCTCTACCCATATGACCTCAGTGGATGTGCCCTCCGCGGTGTCCTCCCTCAGTATAGCTGGGATATTCTCTCTAATCAGTACATCCCTCTCTATCTCACCTGAAACATCCAAATCCTGGAATAAGAGTTAGAAAACTACAATCGTTCAAAATCAGCAGAGAAAAGAACTGGAGAAGCAGTAGGCTATAAAAGCCAACTAACCCTCAGGACCTATGACCTCCATCCTCAGGCACATCCACTCTCTGTGCAGATACAGCTTTCAACATTGTCCAGAATATGGAGGTGTCACATCAGGTTACAAATGGGCAAAGTGATTGCACTATCCCTGAGCAGAGGGAAAGAGGGTCCCACAGGCCAGGGAATCTGACATTAGTCAGTGGGCAATGCTGCAATCTGTTACTAGGTGCAAGATATTCCAAAAGGCACATGGTAATGTTTCACACAGACTGTGCAAGCCCCAGTGAGGCCATCATCAAAGTGTACATTCTGTGTCTAGGTGTGTGTGTGTGTGTCTGTGTGTGTCTGTGTGTCTGTGTGTGTCTGTGTGTGTGTGTGTGTGTGTGTGTGTGTGTGTGTGTGTGTGTGTGTGTGTGTGTGTGTGTGCATGTCTGTGTGCGTCAGTGTTTGTGTTCACAGAGAACTGTCTCAACTTGAATTGCCATTAATGAATTTTCGTTGTAGCATTAAGGAGCCAATCACAAGATTTTCTAGAGTTTGGAAAAATATCAAGTTGTTACCATTTAACACTGAGAAAAATCCTCGAGGTGTGGCAGTCCAGTGTGTAGCCTTTAGACTGCCCATGTCTCACTGAGGATCAACACAAAAGTGACAATTTAATAAATCTCCTGAAAACCTGATTTTCCCCTGACTGGCTGATATCCAGGATAAATGCAAGCCCCCAATTTAAAATAAAACTCTGTTTATTGTAACCCAGCTAAACTTTAACAAGAACAGGATTTCTGTTCAGTTTCTGAGTGAAGTAAAGAGTGTGATGTTGGCCCAGCTGAAGGCAGCTAGTCAACCAGCTGAGACTGACCCTCAGAAATACTCGCTGTCCTGGCCCTCACTCTGAGCGCAGGTCTCCCGCTGTCACTTACAATCCTCTACTCCTCAGCAACCTGGCCTTCCTTCAGAGAATTGGTCACTCTGACACTGGCCCTTGCTAGTTTCTGGATGTCATCACCATTCAGCCACATGAAGTATCTGTCAGTTAGCCCTTGCCCTGTCTTCAGTATCAAACCCAATCCGGCAGAGACTGTACGCCTGTCTCTCCCTCTCTACCATATTGCCATTAAGCAGCCCCTCTCCCTTGCAGTGAAAAACCACCTCCATCCACATTACAACTGCAGGTCAGGCTCAGTAAGATGTAACCTTTGCTTATCTCTGTCCTCCCTCACCAAAACAGACACTGTGTTGCTGTGCTATAGACATTCTGGTGCCTGTGTGAGCTGGCAGACTGAACCCACTGCATCAGATGTCGCTTCATCTGTCTGACGATCCTGTCTCTGGCTTGGTGCAGTGTTCCCTGCTACATTTCTTGTTTCAGCTTTGCCTGAAGCCTGGAGCTGACAGCCCCAGCTCATAAGCAAATACTTGGTCAGGTTTCCGAATCCCTACAAGGTCAGGCACCTTTCTGAGAGGGATCCTGGTGAGAGCACATCTGCACTGGAGGAGTCAACTTCTGCTTGACTCTAATGTTGTACAACAGCTTGGTGTCTGCCTGTTGTGAGTCAGGCTGAATGTTGCTGTATCCATCTGGGGCACTGTTACTACCTGCAGACCTTGATTTAGTCTGAGCCTATCCCTCTTTCACTCAGATAATGACAGGGCAGTAAATCATATAGAGACAGTTTACAGTGCACTGGAAGTGCATGAACAGCATATTGAGGTTGTCTCCACATTCAGACTGTCCAGATCATTGAGAGCATGCAGTATTGTCGTCAGTGCTATCACCTGAAAGCACCGTGTTACTTTTCATATGCTCATTGGCAACACCCACTCATCTTCAATGCTCTCATCTCCTCCATAGTTACTAGATTATCAGATTGCTTATCCCACATCGGACTCTGGACGAGCTGAAATTGCCTCCAGGTAAACATTGGGAAGACTGAAGTCACTGTACACAGGTCCAGCTCCAAGCTCTGCTCCCTAACTACTGTACCCACCAGTCTCCCTGGCAACTGCCTGACATGAAACCAGTCTGTTCACCACCTCAGTCTCACATCTGAACTGTACAGCACCTCCTGACTTCACCCATATCATCTGTGCATCCACTAAGTCCTGCTTCGCTAACACCATTCCACTTTGCCCCATCTCTGCTCACCTCTTGCTAAAAGCCTAATCTGTTTTTTATTAATTTTAAGACTGGGTGATTTCACTGTCTTCCTCATTGGTTTTCCACACTGCAAACTGTGCTGCTGTATCTTAGTTTGGCAAGTCCCCATTCCCCGAACACCTCATGGTTATTGCTGTCCATTAGCTTCATTCATTATTTGTTTATGGGATGAGAGCATTACCAGCTGTGCCAGGTATTCCTTACCTAACCCTAGTTATCCTTGAGAAGGTGACAGTGAATGGTCTTCTTCAAACACCACAGTTCTGGGCAGTAGAGACACCCACAACACCCTTACGGAGGGAATTCCAAGATTTTGACCCGGTGACAGTGAAGGAATGGGGATATATTTCTTGTCAGGATGGTGAGTGGCTTGGAGGGAAACTAGCAAGTGGTGGTGTTCCCATGTCTCTGCTGCCCTTGTCCTTCCAGATGGAAGTGGTCGTGGGTTTGGAAGGTGCTGTCTGAGGATCTTTGGTGAATTTCTGCTGTGTATCTTGCAGATAGTACATATTGCCGATACTGAGCGTCTGTGCTAGAGGGAGTGGATGCTCATAGATGTGGTGCCAATCAAGTGGGCTGCTTTGTCCTGGATGGTGTCAAGCTTCTTGAGTGTTGTTGGGGCTGCACTCATCCAGACAAGGGGGGAGTATTCCATCATACTCCTAACTTGTGCCTTGTAAATGGTGGATAGGCTCTGGGGAGTCAGGAGGTGAGTTATTTGTTGCAGTATTCCTAGCTTCTGACTAGCTCTTATAGCCACTGTGTTTATATGGGGTGAGTTTCTGGTCAATGGTAACCCCCAGAATGTTGAGAGTGGGGGATTCAGTGATGATAATGCCATTGAATGTGCAAAGGGAGATGGTTAGAATCTCTCTTGTTGGAGATGGTTATTGCCTGGTATTGTGTGGCGCAAATGTTACTTGTCACTTATCAACCCTGACTGTTGAACAGGTCTTGCTGCATATTGAAGGGGACTGTTTCAGTATCTGAAGGATCTATTTTCTATATTTACAGTTGCTTGGATTGATCCTCTCAATGTATCTGTGCAAGAATGTGGAACAAGAAGATTATCGCAAAGTCCCTCGGTACTGACATATCTGAGCTGCTCTCTGTCCTCACGCCAATGGCACAACCTGATGTGTGTTGGATGCATCAGTGACCAATCATAATCCAATGGATTTGCTGAACTTATGTATTTGCTTCACTGCTTGCCAAATTTGCCTTATAAACCTCAGCACTTTGGTTCTAAACTGTTGATCAGTATATATTTTGTAAAGATACATTTTCTATTTTGCAGAACTTTCAGCATGGCATCTTCTTAAGGAGCTATTGTCATCATCATGTGAGCATGCAAATGATTATTATCCCAAGGTTTTGTTAAGAGTCTGTATGAGAAAGCTGGGGCTAGGTAATGGAACGTACCTTTGGAATATATGTAGTGTGATATAAAACTGCTTCAGTCTCCATTCAGAGAGAAAACGTGTTGAATTGATGGTCCTGCTCTTCCCTGTTTGCTCAGTGAATCATTCTTCTGTAAAACACCAACTTTCTCTCAAAGTTTTTAAAAAAAAGTATTTTGTATCATTACGTTGAAAATGTACCAAAACTGTAGGTCTGTTCTGATCTTCCAACCTTAGTAAATATTTTTCAAAAATGAAAGTGCTATGTTTTGTTCTTTTTGATGAATAGTGGATAAGTTAGAATTCAATTTTGGTGCTTTATTGTCTAGGAGAATACTTATTTCTTTTATAAATAAGTAATTCCTAAAATGGTTGTGAACTTCATTATGAAGAGCAGAGTGGGCTAAAAATGTTCAACGGCAACAATGAAAGGCAAGCTGCATGGAGCATTGGTAAGTCTCCAGCTCCAGGTGGGATGATCCAAGGAGGAAAGGGAAATTGGAAATTATGGCTGCATTTACCATAATCATACAACAGACTGGACCAATTTTACACCCTTGTTCAAAAAGATGGGCATAGATAAACTCAGAAACGATAGACCAGTCAGATTAATCTAGGTGGTAACTAATCTGCGTTAATGCCTCTAAGAGATTTCTTAAGAGAAAACACAATTTTGTTGAGAACATTTATGCTAACTAACTTGTTTGAGTATTTGATGAGGATTATTGAGGATAATGTGCTTGATGAAATGTACATGGACTTCCAAAAGACATTTGATTAGGTGTCGCAGTTATTGGTTAAAGCTATTGTCTGTGGAATAAGAAGGACAGTGTGGATTTATAGTTGACTGAAGGACAAAAAACAGACCATTATTGTTGAATAGTTGTTTATGAAACTGTAGAAAGATATCCAATGGGGTTCTCCAGGGGCTGGACCACTATTTTGCTTTAAATATATTCATAGAATAGACAAGGGTATGCATGGCAAAATTCGCACATGATACAATAATTTGAAAATATTGTAAACTATGAGGAAATAGTGATGGAAAAGTGGTCAATTTAAAGAAGAGAAACATCCCCCAGCTCCAGCTCCCCCCTCAGGAGAAACACCCTCTCAGTATTAACCCCATCCAGTCCTTCCAGGATCTTGGATGTCTCAATAAGATTGATTCTCATTCTCCTAAATATTGGTAGGTATAAGTCCAAGTTGTTTGCCCTGTCAAATTTAAGGGACAGAATTCTGATGGGGGTGGGGTTGGAGCAGGTACAGGAACAACGACCTACACAAATTGTTGAAGGTGGCAGAGAAAACTAAGAAAAGGGTTTAAAAGAAAGGATTCCGGACCTGGGGTTTATAGAGGCCTAGAGTAGAAAAGTAAGAAAGTCATAACGTTCAGTTATGAAACACTAGTTTGGCCTCAAATAGAGAATTGTGTCCAGTTCTGGACACTGCACATTAGGAAGAATACGAAGTCTTTAGAGAGAGTGCAGATAAGATTTGCTAGTATGGTTCCAGGGATGAAGGACTTCAGCTTTGTAGAATAATTTGAGAAGGAAAAGGGTAAGTGATAGGAAGTAGAGTGCTCTTGTAGAGAGTTGCACCAAACACAAGAGACAGGTTACAACACGCAATCAAACCAGTCTCTAAGAGTCTGTGAAACGCACATTGTATTGATTCCCTTTGCCAAACATGGCTTTGGTTTGCCTCCTGTTTCACTTGGATCCACACCTACAGTGGTTCAGTTTTTTCAAACAGTCCAAGTTTCTAAGTTTCCATTCAAACATTAAGCTTCCATTCTAAGCTTCCATTCAAACACAAGATCATTGGCTCAGTTCCCAATTTCAAATCAAATGCTCAGCTTGGTGCCAGTTTTTCAAATTAGCTCCTTTATATAGCCCCCATTTCTCCAACTGACTGCAGCTTTGGTGAATATTAAAATTGCCCAGCTTCCATTGTGGTCTCTGATTCCGTTCTCTCTCTATACAAGTAACCCAGACAGTGATTGTAGAGGAAATCAGAAAATCTGACTCTCATCACTTGCTAATAATGATTGCTCATTGTTGGAATCTAGTACAAAGATGAGACGCATCTTCAGAAATATCATGGAGAGTAAATAAAAATGTTTTACTCTAGATGATTTACATAATCTTTTTGTTTCAACTGCTGCGCATTAAAATCCTTCTGAATGCAATATTCTTGTTGGTTTCTGTAGGATTAAATTTTAAGCCTAATTTCTGAATGGATCGTGATCAAGTAATGCCTGACTGCTGCTCACGACATTACTCTCAAGACTCAAGCAGTTAGGGGTAAATTTTAGTTCACTGCACCCAGCACAGGGCCTATCCAATAGCAATCAGTCCTTAGGTTCATAGACTTTCTTTTTAAAATCATAGTATCCCTACAGTGTGGAAGCAGGCCATTCAGCCCATCAGGTTCACACTGCCCCTCTGAAGAGCATCCCACCCAACTCCTGTTGCTCTGGGTAGGCGTTTTCAATGTCCACCACCAAGAGTGGCTCGGCAGCAGTACTACAGATCGAGGCCACTAGACTGGGTCTGCGGCATGTGGTGAGGGAACCAACAAGAAAGAAGGTAAATGAGCTTGTGGTGCACATCGAAATTGACAGATATGATGTGATGGGCATCATGGTGACATGGCTGCAAGGAGATCAGGATTGGGAGCTGACTATCCAAGGAAATACACCTTATCAAAAAGATAGGCAGATGGGCAGAGGGGGTGGGGTTGCCTTATTAGTAAGAAATGAAATTAAATCAATAGCAAGAAACAAAGTCGGGTCAGATGGTGTAGAATCTGTCTGGGTAGAGTTGAGGAACCACAGAGGTAAAAAAAACCATAGCTGGAATTATGTACGGGCTTCCAAACAGTCAGGAGCTGGGGCGCAAGACACACCAGAAGATAGAAAAGGTGTGTAAGAAAGGCAAAGTTACAGTGATCATGAGGGATTTCAATATGCAGGTGGACTGGGAAAATCAGGTTGGTAGTGGATTGCAAGAAAAGGAATTTGTGGAATGTCTATGAGGTGGCTTTTTGGAGCAGCTTGTGGTGGAGCCCACTAGGGAACAGGCAATACTGGATTTAGTGCTGTGCAATGATAAGAGAGCTAAAGGTGAAGGAAACCTTAGGAGGCAGTGACCGTAAGATGATAGAATTTACTCTGCAATTTGAGAGGGAGAAGATAGAATCAGAGGTAACGGTATTACAGCTGAATAAAGGCAACCACAGAGGCATGAGGGAGAAGCCTCGCAGGAAAGACAGTGGAACAGCAATAACAGGAGTTTCTAGGAGTAATTCTGGAGCCACAGCAAAAATTCATTCCTAGGAAAAAGAAGCATGCTACAGGGAGATAACAAGGTGTAGAGCTGGATGAACACGGCAGGCCAAGCAGCATCAGAGGAGCAGGAAAGCTGACGTTTCGGGTCTAGATCCTTCTTCAGTAGATCTGTAGTACTGCTGCTGAGCTACTTTTGATGGTGGACATTGAAATCCCCTACCCAGAGCAACAGGAGTTGGGTGGAATGCTCTTCAGAGGGGCAGTGTGAACCTGATGGGCTGAATGGCCTGCTTCCACTGTAGGGATACTATGATTTTAAAAAGAAAGTCTATGAAACTAAGGACTGATTGCTATTGGATAGGCTTTGTGCTGGGTGCAGTGAACTAAAATCAGACATGGACTAAAATTTACCCCTAACAGCTTGAGTCTTGAGAGTAATGTCATTTCTGAAGAAGGGTCTAGACCCAAAACGTCAGCCTTCCTGCTCCTCTGATGCTGCTTGGCCTGCTGTGTTCATCCAGCTTTATACCTTGTTATCTCAGATTCTCCAGCATCTGCAGTTCCTACTATCTCATGCTACAGGGAGGATGAGGCAACCACGGCTGATGAGGAAATCAGGGACAGCAGAAAATCAAAAGCGAAAGCGTATAATGTGGCGAAGGGCAGTGGGAAACCAGAGGATTTGGCAGTCTACAATGATAAACAGGGCAACAAAAAAGAGGGAGAAGATTAAATATGAGGGTAAGCTAGCCAGTAATATAAAGGAGGACTGTAAGAGCTTGTTTAGATATATAAAGGGCAAAAGTGGACATTGGAAAATGACGCTGGAGAGATAGTAGTGGGGAACAAGGAAATGACTGAGGAACTGAATTGTTACTTTGCTTCAGTCTTCACGGTGGAAGACATGAGTAATGTCCCAAAAATTCGAGAAAGTCAGGGGGCAGTATGGTGGCCGTCACCAAGGAGAAGGTGCTAGGAAAACTGATTGGCCTGAAGGTGGACAAATAACCTGGACCAGATGGACTACACCCCAGAGTTCTAAAGGAGATAGCTGAAGAGATAGTGGAGATGTTAGTGGTGATCTTTCAGGAATCGCCAGAGTCAGGGAGGGTCCCAGAGGAAAATCGCTAACATGACACCCCTGTTTAAAAACGGAGTAAGGCAAAAGACTGAAAATTACAGGCCGGTTAGCCTAACCTTGGTCATGGGTAAGATTTTAAGAGTCCGTCGTGAAGGATGAGATTTCTGAATACTTGGAAGTGCATGGTGAAATAGGGCAAAGTCAGCATGGTTTCATCATGGGGAGGTCACACCTGACAAATCTGTTAGAATTCTTTGAGGAAATAATGAGCAGGGTAGACCAAGGAGAGCCAATGGATGTTATCTACCTGGACTTCAAAAAGGCCTTTGATAAGGTACCGCACAGGATGCTGCTGAATAGAATAACAGCCCATGGTGTTAGAGGCAAGGTACTAGCATGGATTGAAAATTGGCTGTCTGACAGAAAGCAGAGAGTGGGGATAAAAGGGTCTTTCTCAGGATGGCAGCCAGTGATTAGTGGTGTCCCGCAAGGGTCAGTGTTGGAACCACAACTTTTCACTTTATACATTAATGATTTAAATGAAGGAACTGAGGGCATTCTGGCTAAGTTTGCAGATGATGCAAAGATAGGTGGAGGGACATGTAGTATTGAGGATGCGGAGAGGCTGCAGAAGGATTGGACAGGTTAGGAGAGTGGGCAAAGAAGTGGCAGATGGAGTACAACGTGGGAAAGTGTGAGGTCATGCACTTTGGTAAGAAGAATAGAGGTATAGCCTATTTTCTAAATGGGGAGAAAATTCAGAAATCTGATGTGCAAAGAGACTTGGGAGTTCTAGTCCAGATTTGCTCAAGGTAAACGTGCAGGTTGAGTCAGTAGTTAGAAAGGCCAGGTCATTGAGTATATTTAAGACAGAGACATAAGGTTC